TCTTCCTTGGGTGTGTGGCCCTGCAGGGAAAGAAAATAGCCATAAATTTTATCCTCCACCTCCCTGATTCCCCTCAGCCTGCTAACCTGCTCCTGGAGCCCCCTCACCTGCACCTCCAGGGCGCTTGCAGGACAGGTGTGGGGATCCTCAATCCCTGCCCCCCCAGGCCTTGCTGGGCAACTCCCGCAGGCCAGGGAGGGGGGGGACGCCAGCCCCCCATGGGCTCTGTCTGGATGGAGGCCTCAGACAAGCCCCAGGTAGGCTGCACCCCCCAGGCAGGGGCCCTTGGTGGTAAATGCATCAGAGTTATACCACATTCTTCTCTATTTTTGACGTGCACACAGCCACAGTAGCTAGAAAGTCCTTGTAACATTTCTATTTGACTAGAAAGCCACTTCCCAGATCTTTCAGGTGAGCTGTCAGCTGGGGATACCTACTTTTGTCACCCCCAAATTTGTGTTGCAATACAATTTACTCGAATTTGAAAATGACTAGACAAGAAAACTTTTGTAGTACACCTCATCAAGCACTGAGAATGATTCTAAGCTGTGTGCACATCAATTCAACTCCCTGCTCTGTCACAGACTGAACAAATCCAGATATATTTATGGATTTAGATATGGTGATAATGAACTCCTGGAGTAGAATTTACAAATCTAAATTAGGTGCCCAAGTTCCCTAATACAATGCACAGGAAGAGTAAAGTGCTAGAAAATCATGGCTCTCCAATAGTGACCAGCATTGGTATAAACAGTCTTAACTTTATGCATTCCAGAGCAGCATTTCTCAACCTGTGTGTCACAACCCAAAAGAAACATTTGGATGCCTATGTTGCTGGGATCCTTTGATGGTAGCTGACTTCCATGCCCCTTGGGCAGGGAGCTGGACCCAATGTCCTTATGATTTGAACTAACAGCTTTCGAGGGCAGGACCTATCTTTGAAAAGTATCTATCATACTGGGCCCCTGGCTCCAACTATGAACAACTGTTATAGCCAAAGTAATAGTAATTACTAGGCCTGTGCAAAGCAGCTAGTATTCGCTTTGGATTTGGATGATTCGGGGACAGCGATTCAATTTGGTGATTCAAATCACTGTCCCGAATCAATTCGGCCAAATCTGATTCAGAGAGTTGGCCGCTGCTGAATCAGACGAATCTCCAAATTGAACAGGCCCCATCCCCTGCCCACTCTCCCAGCCCCATCAATGGCTGCCCCACCCAGCCCCAGCACTTAAAAAAATCAAAAACAAAACAAAGCCCCACACTCACCGGCTCCTGCTGGGGGGGAGTCCCCACTTCCCCACACTGCTCCTCTGAATTGAATCAGCAACCGAAGCTTTGCATAGCAGCCCTAGTAATTACTAATATATGAGAGTTACTGAAAGAGAGACAAAGATACTTGTGGGTGATATCTTTTATTAGAATAACTGCATGGTTGAGACAGACTTAGGCCACATATAGGTGTCACTGTTCTCTCAATAAAAACTATGAGCATACAAGTATTCATTCTCCCAGGTAAATTTATCCTGGGTAAAACGTACCCACCCCAGCAGAAACATTTTACAGGTTGATACCTGGAAGATCTTTTCTTTGAAAGAAACTCTTTTGCAAGAACAAACACCTATACACTCCCCTCCTGGTCTGGTCTGGGAGGGGAGTGGAGTGGAGTGGAACAGCGGGGCAATGCTCTCCACACTTCCTAGACATGGGTCCAGGCCATGCCAGTCCCAGACAAGGCCAGTTTGGGGAATGGACAGAAGGCATTGACCCACTGTTCCAGTCCCCTCCTGGTCTGGAGAAGAGTGGAAAAACTGACCACCACTCCCCACCTACCCCCCAGAATGGGCGTCCCTGGTCTATGGAACAGCCCAGGGGCTTGGCCCCACTGCTCCCTACACTCTGTTCCCAGAAACCAGGAGTGGAGTGGAGGAGAAGCCACTCCTTGTCCCGCACCCACCCTGCTGCCCAGGATCACCCTGGTCTGAGGAAGATACAAGTAGCAGGAGAAAAAGTACATTTGCAGGCTCAACACCTATACTGTTCCCTCTCCCAACAGATTTGTAGCTATGCACATTTCTCCAAAACTTCCGCCACTAGAAATTAACACTTGCTTATACCTAGACAAGCTTTTGAATTCAGTACATTCATGAACTGTATTTATACATTGCATTCAAATGCTTGTCAACGCCTGTCCGAACAATGCAGTTGGTCCAATAAAAAATATTACCCACAAAAGTCCTTATCTCCTGCATATTTCCTGGACCATCATAGTACCAGCAGAAGAGCCACATGCATGATCAGAGGTCAGGAAAACAGACCTTACGAGGACAGGCTGAGAACCATGGGGCTCTTTAGACTGGAAAAGCACAGGCTCAGGGTTGATCTGATGGCCACCTATAAGTTTATCAGGGGTGACCACCAGTACCTGGGGAAACGTTTGTTCACCAGAGTGCCCCAAGGGATGACAAGGTCGAATGGTTAT